ATTTTCACCATCACCAATCAACAGCGCTATGATAGCAATCAGAGCTTATAGCGAATGCTAAAAGAGAAATTAATAAATGGAACAATGTTGCAGGCATCAAAGTCATTAGATTGCCATTATTCGCGTGCCATCGTAATTTTGCACTGTTTGGAAACGTTTGGTGGCAGTAAAATGCCACTTTTTCTATGTAATTTCCATAGAAAAACCCAGACGCAAAGCCGAAATCATGCCAGCAGTGAAGTATCTTAAATAAAATATAAAATAAAAAATATAAAAATATTTTAATAAAATATTATATTTAATTTCTTCACCCCTTACTAAAAAATATACCCATAAAATTTTAAAATAATTGATACAGTAGTTTATTTTTAAATTCCCTATAATCATTTTTATCGGCTATAGCACTAGGTGTGGCCCTAAATTTAAAATTTTGTTGAATTTTTTTGATTGTAAAATAAATCTCAATTAACTAAAGCGCGGTGATATATAAAATAATGTTTTTATTAAAGTGGCATGCTCGCAGCTCAATGTAAACACTTTAAGTTTGTAACGCTGAAGTGCTTGGTTCGAATCCCATTCGATAAAATTTCTTTATATTATTAATTTAACTCTTGTTTATTTTTTTTATTTTTAACTCAATTATTTTTAATTACATTCACATTGTTCAGCAACATTGTTTTGCGATAAAGACATATGTGTGACATATACTAGTACGTATGTATGAATAATTCACTATAATGTATTCATATAATTCAATTTTTTTTTTAGTTATTAAAAAATTCATATATCCACAGTATATTTATTTTAGCATTTATCACCATGATTATCGAATGTCTATCTAATGTTTACCACAGTTGCCAATATGTCAGGATGGCCGAGCGGTCTAAGGCGCCAGACTCAAGTGTAATAACTTACCTGTAATAATATGGGTCGTTCCGGAGCGTTCTGGTCCTCTCTGAGGGCGTGGGTTCGAATCCCACTTCTGACAAGATATTTTTTTATAATGTAATTTCGGATTATTTTAAAGAATATTTCGTGCTTAATATATATTTCAAATTTATTTTATATTTACAATATCATTAAGAAGTCAAAGCTATATATAGTAATAGATGAAGACAGTAATTAGAGAAAATAAAAATAATATATACCATAAATACCGGGGACAGTTATACGAGTAGTATTTTACCTTTAAGGTCGACTATTTTGGTCCCTATTCGAATTCAATGAAAGCCATTGTGATCAAATCACAAGATATACGTTCATACACACATATACACCTATTAGCTACCCAAAGCAAAATAGGTAATAAAAAATATAGGTAAAAATCGCTCTATCATAATTAAAAGGAATATGACACATTCGATTTATGACATTTAAGAATATGACACAGCACCCAGTCGCAAGGCCAACCGCAAACAAAGTCCACGACATTATAAACCGCATGGACATTTCGCAAAATCTTAATACGCGCGAAGCAATATTTCAAAAATTTTATGATTTCAATGAGTGAGTGAGAAATTAAACAAGGGATAAACATGAATATTATTGTACTTAAGTAAGGGCTAGGCAATTGAAATTAAAGGAGAATGGAGAATAAAAATTTCGCATATTAAAACAATTTGCGATGGATTGGAAATAAATCAAAAAAATTAAAAGAAGGAATAATAAAGCAAACTATATACAATACAGTTGGGATAAATTTCATATCTTACGGATAAACATATTTATAGCCATTTTATGAAATAAAGAAAAAGAAAATGTGATATCGCATTGAAGATTTGCTTCAAATGAACTAACTACCCAAAAAACTAAATGATTTTTAATTTGAGTAATCACAAGGAAATACCATTAGACTATGAAAGTTAGCTTTAATGCTATTGTGCTTGCTAAGTCAGTTAAAAAACTTTCTTAGTACCCCAAAAGGGTAACTTATTATTGAGACAATAATTGGGTAGGTATGTGTGCCATACATCCATAAAAAAAAGAGTCTGAGAAATATGCACTGAAATGTCTGTAATTGATATGTAGCCATTCTTAGAGAAGAAATAAATAAAAAGAAACTACGCAGCATCCAAGAAAGGCTGACGAAAAGGCTGCAAAAGCGCATTCGCGATCAAACTAACAGTGGTAAATCAAATTATAGCACTTGGTGGAAACGCCAAGGCATATTACGAAATGACGGACAAATATCTATTGAAGTGGAAAATCGCAGGCAGATTCCAACCAGTTTAGTTTATATATACTGCATAGTTCGGTTGATAGAAAAGGGTTATGTAATTTTCAGCAGTACTAGGCAGCACCACCAGCAAACACTGACACAGACAAGAAGAGAGGAGCGTACATCAAGATTGACACTTTAGTAGCAAGGCAGAATACATTGAAGCGTTTAAAGAAAAGTACTGCACACTAAATTATAAATATTTATAAAGTAAATAATGATGCTGAAGAAAAAACGTGCAAGCAAGAAGCTTTGGTTGGATCTTAAATATTGTTGTATTTAAATGTCAGTTGTCAAATATTTCGGATTGCATTGGCGTAAGAAGTGACTTTCTTATCAAACCTAACTCAAACCTCTTTCAAAATGAAAGTGTCAGTGGGTACAATAGGTGATTTCAAAATCCAATATCAGTGATAAATACTAGTTCAATGTTCCTTGAAAGGCAGCTGAGGATAGGACGCGAGTACCCAGTATATTTTCAATACAAACATTTTTGCTATAAAACACAACACACCGCTTTCTTGCTCTCACAATTTGATTATGATACTTCACTTGATTTGTGCAAATAGCATGTTCGATTCACTTTCTATGTTTATGTAAATTGAAGACAACTAAAATTAACTGTAGTACTCTTCATATCCGGAAGACTATAAACTTTGTTGATAATTTGTGGAATACTTTTTGGCGTTTATAAATGTGTGACAGATTTTTTGGCAATTTATTCATATGTATGAATGCAAATGACTTTTTGCAATAAATCGTAATTAAAGCAGCAATCTAATCGGATTTGTATACGAAAGAAAATGTATACCAAAACACAGTTTTCAAATCCCAAGCGGACTTCCAAAGCGTGAAAGAAGTAGAAAAATCACCAAGCTGCCAGCTGGATGTCGAAGGATTTTGACACACACAACAATCACACCTTTGTTGCCGCAATATTTGTACTTCTGGTAACAGCCTGCATTTCGGGCACAACCGCGCAATGGGCTGGCAGCAAACTCGAAATAAATAGAGGAAATAGCGAATACAAACGAAAGTGCTGGACCGTGCGCACAGCATGTGGTCCGGGCAGCCTGATTTAGTCGACCGAATTGTTGCTGTCGACTGCTGTTGTCCATGAACAGTATGGTTGACAATGACAGTAATACCAACAACAGAAGCTGCTTAGCGAATGTATGCGAGAATGTGCATTGACAGTCGAGAGAAAGCATTAATGCTAACTGCAGTAGCAACTGAAGTAGAACTATGTATGGAACCTTAAAAGGATGAACTCGCACAATTTCATCAGAAATAGTATATCTATGTGTAGAGTCATCAATTTCTAATACTATTATACATCGTTTATACTAAATTTATGCGGTTTCGCCTTCAAATACATTTTTTACGACCTTACCATTTACAGACATTCATAAAACTGCCAATAACTAATATTGGTCTGCGTACTGTCCGTTGAAAATCAATTGATTCAATTTATTGCATCACCTCATTCGGCTTCCTTGTCTGCCATTCACAAATCTCATCTGAAATATGAAATGCTCAGTTCTTCAGTAGCTTAAAGTCGTAAAACCATAGGACATTTTCATCACCTCAAAGAGCGTTGAAGACAACCAAGCGCTTCATTTGCTTCCATCGGGTAATCTTTTTGTGATCTGTCTTTCTTGGCAAGGTGTTCATTCCTTCAGCTACATACATATGTACATTCGTAGTTAGACACAATACATATTTTACTTTTATTTTGCGGCACTTTAACCCTCAGAAAGAAAACTGTACGCTGCCGCCGCAGTAACTGCCCGATTTGGCCCATAAATTGCAAATGAAATGAGCCAAGACGAATCAGTGCAAGCTGTTGCCGTGTCAGAAGCAACTTCTTCAAATTCGTTGGTTACACTTTTATTTCTCTATTTTGGCGAGGATGCGTGATATGTTGTTCCTTTTGTGTGTTAAATGTTGCCATAGTTGGCAATTATTAAGCCGACTACTTTATGATTCGCGTATATTTCATGCCGATTTATGCGCCAATGTGGGTGATCCATTGTATGAGGCTGCTTTTTAAAAGCCGATAAGAATACAATTACCCGAGCTTCAAAGTATATACATATGTGCGTAGGATGGTACATACCATCTGCTTTTTCCGCTAGTACAGTCTTCTTTTTTCATGAATCACTTACCTGAAATAAAAAAAATATGTTTTTAGATTTCAAAAGTTTAATAAACAAAAAATGCATATCTTAGAAGCTAAATATAGTTCTTTAAATCTATTTAAGGGTGTCATCTCATCTGTCGGTCTGTTTTTAAGCATTTTTTATGATTTTTTTTTTTGTGTTTTTGCTATTTTTGATTGATAACTGTGCATTCCAGTCGTTTACATAGGCTGCGTATACCCTACAAATTTATTTCACTCAGCCAAGTAATTTTTGAGATACTATGGAGGAAAGTTTGAAAAACACAGTTTTGAGAAAAAGGCGTTTAAAGTTTCCAATCTGCCAACTTAGCACTCCTAACAGCTCCTTCTTCTAATTGCTGTATCTTTAGAGCGACTTCGAATTTTTAAAAATCACTTCACTAACGCATTCTAGACATGTTAAAAAAGCAATTTATAAAAAAAATGAATTGATGTTTTGAGGATGACTTAGTTTTAATTCTTAATGTGATTTTGTTGAAAACTTATCTTTTCAGAACTTTATACTTAGTTTAAATAAAGGCAGATCAATCATTTCGTAACAAAATAAACCTTACCTATCATAGCGCCATCTACACAATGTTAACAATACCTTATACTACTTTTCTTTTTAATTATAAACGTTTGAGAGAACATCAGCGCATAGTATTTATTCAAATCTTTAAACCATAGAAATTTCATATTTTTATGTAATTTTCTAACAAAGTCAGATTTATAAACTTTTTAATCCAAGCGTTGATGATTTTCGTCTTAAAAGTACTATTCATGATACCGGTCAACTTCGACTTCACAGCGCCCAACTCCGATGTTACTTTGAATTTGGTCATTCTCACGCTGCCGGTGAGTTTGGGACGCACTATGAAACTTCCATAAATACGCAAATTCTTCAAAGCCAAGTGCAGTGCGGCATCGCCATACACACGCACTGAGGAACCCAGGAACTTAGTATTTATATAAGCTTTATAGAGGCCGGGTGAACAGTATTTCGGGGAAAATCAAATCGTACATCACTCTTTGCAGCATGTTGTTGAAACGGACGTCCTAAACTTCGAAATCGTCGAGACCGCTGATGTTGAGATTGATAACATTGCCCCGTAAGCTATCGCGGAAAGAGAAAATAAATATCTTTCTGTGCTATATTCAACGTTCAACTTACGCCGCATTGCCAGTGGTCACATTAATTCCTCGGTAGGCGGCTTGTAAAGGTGCTAACGGTGCTATGCCTGCTGCTGCATAACCACAAGGCATTTGCAAGCGCAGAAACTCTACAAATTCATGTAGATCATCGTCAAACATGATACGAGCCGCGATTTCTAACTGATCAGATGATTCACTATCTTGCAAAGCTCGAATGCCCTGGAAGAGCAGCAGCGCGCAGAAAACGAAATTAAACTTGTACATTGCGGACAACTGCGATGGATTAACTGGTTGTATATAAAAATAGCGCATTTAGTAATATACGGTACTTGAAACACCTGTTTTTGGCTTATCTTGAGTTGAAAGTATTAAAGTGATAAGGAAAAGAATTTGCTACTGGTTTAAACATAGTGACAGAGAGGCCATAAAATTCGGATTACGAACAAATTTCTATTAATGTCAATCTAAAATAGCAGGCAGCGTTGAGGGAAGTGCGTAATTTCTGATTTCAGAATAAAACCTTTTTGGCTTAATTATAGCGAAAGTAAAGAAATATAAAAAAGTTTAGAAATAAATTGCGGCAATTCTACAAAACCAAAAGACGCTGTACTTTTCAGTAAATCCGAATCGTTTAATAAAATTTTTGCCCCAATGCTTTAGGGACTGACCCTTCTACCAAATATACTTCATGTTTAGAGAGTTATAGGTAAAACAGAAATTCCTCGACAAGCAACAGAACACGCAATATATAAAATGCTTGTGTTTGGTTATTCACACAATTTTATCATTTATTTGAACTAGTAAAATATATTTAAGCCCAAGGATCTTCGGGTGCCACACACTTGGTCACAATGGGGTCATCTTCACTAGTACCATCGTCGCTAGATAAAATTGCATCGAGAATAGTCCAGAAATCTTTACCCTTAAGCTTTTTGTTTACACGTGGCACTAAAGTGTTCTCAATGGTCTCGGAGATTAATTGTTGGTTGTCGTTAATGCCGGATTCGATCAAACTTGCGAGTTTGTCATTAAGCAGCCTATTTAATTTACCTTCACCGAAGAAACCGTTGATTTCTGAATTGCAACTCTCTACGGTGATGGTAACTTTCAACGAGGTAATTCTCATGGATCCCCACAACATAGGGATCTTGTATTTCAAGGTACCAGCAACACGCAAATTTTTCAAGCCAAAGTCCAAAGTACCATCACCTTCGTATTGCACGGAGAGACCCAGCTGACGCAAACCATCCACAATTGTCTTAGTGTCGTAGTGTGATGCAGAAGCACGAATGTTGCTGAAGGTGATATCGAAAGTGACCTTCGACAGAATTATATTTAGCTTGAATCTATTGATTACGAAATCATCTAAGCCATCCAGACGCAAACGGCTGAGCTCATCAAAGGTTCTGGAGCGACCAAGAAATAGAAGAACGCAAATGTAGAAAGGGTTTAGTTCGAAACATGTACACTACACTCACTCCAGCATTCCACTTTCAAAATGTACATCAACTTCGCTCTTCTTTAATGGCGCTAGTGGGGGAATGCCGTATTCTGGGAAGCCACAAGGCATTTCCTTTTGCAATTTGCGAATCATGCGACGTGCCTGCCATGACAAGATGAAGAAAGGAGCAACTGTCGGGACAAAATTAGGTAATTGGGTTAGAGATACACCAAATTAGAAAGTGCAATATAGTTAACTTACTTTCTTGAGTACCATCTTCATTCTCGTAGATCACTTCAATTTCACTGTCTTCAGTGATTGGTGATGGCCTGAAGTCAGGACCTTTTATTGTGGCAGCAAAGGCGACCGCAGCGAAAGTCAAAGCCAAAAAATACTTCATACTCGAAACTGTTTTATAGACTGATTGATATACCTTGAAATCGGTAAGTTAGCAATCGATCGACTGATTTCTGCACAGCTGCACCCTTAGCTTTTATATGCTTCTATTTGAAAAACAAATATTTCGATTGTTTGTTTTCTTTGGATTAACTGATTTACCGCGCAATCAGATTTTTGACTGATTAAGTGGCAAAGTCAGATTTATGACCTTTTTATTAATATGGGTAGTTTTACACAATGATAAAAAGATTATAATATTTTGTTTCCAACTTAAAGCAACAAAAAGTGCTGGTGCACGTGACAATCACAATACAGCAACACGTGAACACCTGAACAGGACAGCCGACAACATAAAAGGTGCGTGCCAAAGTAAAAAAGTAACAAATTAAAATCTAGTGGCGCCATCAAATGAGCCGAAACCCAAAAAATCGCGCTGGAGAAGTCAAAAATGAAGACAATGCTGATTGGTTTTTATGATTCCAAGGGTATCGTCTACCAAGAATTTGTTCCACCCGGCCAAAACGTTCATGCGGTATTCTACTTTGGAGTTTTGAAGCGTTTGGTGCGCCGTATTCGACGTGTTCGTCGGCCCGAATATCGCGAAGATGGAAGTTGGCGTTTGTTGCACGATAAAGCGTCGTCTCATCGATCGACGCTTGTGGCCGATTATTTGACCAAAATTCACATTTTAACAATCAACCACTCCCCGTATTCACCTGATATGGCACCGTGCGACTTCTACCTTTTCGGAAAAATGCATTTGCCGATGAAAGGAAAGCGTTATGCTGACGTGGAGGCCATTTAAAAGGCTTGCACTGGCATACTGGCGGCCATACCGGGCAACGAGCTAAAACACTCGTTCGACATGCTTTTGGACCGTTGAAAAAGCTATATTAAAGCAGAAGGATACTATTTTGAATAAAATTAATTGATTTTGCCGATAAAACCATTTGTTCTGTCTTTTTTTTTAAATCCCTGTTTACTTTGCAACGCACCTTGTAGTTATGAGTTTTGGAACTTTATGTGACGGCTCAGCTTTATTAGCAAGAAAGCGAGGGAAAAAACCAACAATATACATTTATAATATCTTTATTTGTCATCACATTTAACAAAAACGAAAAGAACATGCACTACTCTAAAGCCAACCATGGTGCTGGCGTTGGGGAGCATTTGTTATTGGAACCTATCATTTGTCCCAACAACCACCAAACTTTGTGGCCCTTCAGATAGGCATTAATTTGTGGTACGAAAATGTTTTCAATTTTCTTGCTAATTTCCTTTTGATTTCCATTGATGTAGTTGGGGATGATACTTTCGATCTTATCGTTAAGGAAACGATTAAATTTACCGTTACCCAAAATGCCGCCAATATTTGAGCGTACACCACCAAGAGTGACCTTAGCTTCGAATTTGTAAATCTTGATGGAGCCCCAGAAAATTGGCATCTTATATTTGAATTGACCCTCAATGGAGAGATCCTGTAGGGCGAAATCCAATAGGCCAGAACCCTCATAACGCGCTGACAAACCCAAACTACGCATCATGTCAACAAATGTGTCCGTGTTGTAAATGTGAGCGCTGGCCTTCAACTCTCGAAAGACAAAATGGTAGACAACCTTCTTTTTGAATGTGTAGCTAACTTTCATTTTCTTGATGTCCATGCGGTCCAAACCATCGAAACGGAAGCGGACGAATTGTAGTATGGAGCTGTAAGTGGTTCATTGGTTACATGTTGCGTTAACAAATTAAGCTTAGTTTCACACGATGAATACTTACTCAACTACTGATTTAGATAATTGAAGGTTTAGCTCGGCATTAGTGTATGGTGCTAGGGGTGGAACGCCCAGATCAGGCCAACCACAAGGCATTTGCTTCATAAAGTTTCTTACATATTTTTTTGCTTGTGAGTTAAGGATCAAACCACGATTCTGTCCTGCTTAGCGATAACATATTGATAAATATAGAAGGAAAAAGATGAAGTTATCGAAGTTATCGGTATATAAGAGAATAACAATTGTACGTACCCCTTTCCCATGATATGTCCCATTCATCTTCATCTAAGTTCTCAGCTTCAGTGGCGGCAGCCAAAGCGAGAAAGCCGAACAAAAGACAGAAAACTATGCGCATTTTTATTAAAAATTAAATACTGCTTCTACACCAAAACTTTATAAATCGATAGTGCAAAGTTGCGAGTGCTTTGGTTTATATAGCCCACGAAAACTCGGTCAAAATTTTAACAAGAACAAAGTCAAGGCAATAATCTGAAGGCTTTTAGCTTCAGACGGAATAAATCAAGCGCTGTCTTCATAAATTACTTTGACAACGTTTAACGGAAATCTAATCCTCGGCGATACCGATGGATTATCGATGGTTTAGTACCACTTTCGTAGAGTTTGGGTATCCGTTCAAATATTCGTATCATGATTTAGTACTGAAAACAAAATGTATAAATGTTAACTCGAAATACCCCCCATAACCACTGATAAAGATTATATTTCACTTATAGCGTTGTTGGAAAATGAAAAGCAGTTAAGTAAGGACGTTGGCACAGATAAGCGAACCCAAAAAGTAACTGTATATTATTATAAGGCGCAATTCAGATATAAGTTCTGGGGGACCATCTGTTTTAACTTCACAGAATATATCCTTGAATATCTTGGAGAACATGTTATTTGGTTAAATTTCGAATTCAAAATGCTTGCTGGATATTTTTATGAACATTCGTTTAGTATAAAATATACCACACCATACGAGGAAGGGTATTGAATCAAAATTGCACGATAAGACGAACTAATTAATGTCATTCATAACTGATCGATGTTTTTAAAATAACCTCATTAGCAAATGCAGCTTATTAAGATCATACAAATGTTTTTTTTTTTTTTGGTATATTACATTATTGCAACTGCGGGCAATATATATATATGGCTGTTTATTGTTTTCGGCATAGATTATTGTCCAAAGCAACCAAACTACAATGTCCAAATAAAGTGTGCATATCAGACCACTATGACATATAACCAAACCTGTCCATATAACTAATTACGTTCAAGGTCGCTATATGTTATTTAGGACAATGAACTATGATACAATTTTTTTTGTAATTCAATTATTTCGTACTTTTATTTGTAAGTATTATTATATTGGTATACTTATATAACTATCAATTGCCTGGGAGTTTTATGTATGATACTAATTGAAAAGAGTCAGTAATTCTAAAAACTAACAGATCCTCTTCTTTATTAGACTCAGTCTAGTCATGTTATAAGTTTGCTTTGACAGACCTTGGCATTTAATTTTGGCTTACAGTTAAGATTATCTGGTCGAAACGGCTTTATGACGGTACACCTGTTGTAATCTATAAAATAAGTGACATATTAGTGTTATCAGACACCTGTTCCACTTTTCTATTTTTTAATTTGCTGTAAAGTAGCACAGGTGCATTCAGTTATTAACAATATTAATGCCCATATAATTTATGTGCGAAAACCGGTTTCGTTTAATTTTTGTTTGTTTCACTTAGAAGGTTGCAGAAAACCACGCTAATTTTCAAATAGAATACCACCTCCGATATTCTCATTCATCACAAAATTGATTAGTTTTACTCCAATTTTCTATAAATATTTCATAGTTTCCCGCTACTAAGTGATTTTTTAATGACCGTGACCAACTCATGACTCGTTATTCCGAATTTAAGCTTCAGTTAAAGTCATAAAATCTTCTATATATGGAAGCGAGGTCATAATCTTTGCTTTTGTTTCATTGCAATTAAATTCAATTTGACATAATTTGTAAACAAATTAGATGAGTTTACTTCATATTCAAAACATCAACCAAAATGCCCGAAGTATGTAACACATAGAAGAAATTGTTCAAAACAGATCACTATATCATAGATCTGCCATACAAGTTGAACGATCGGAATCAAGTGAAGGATATTTTTTTTCTTGTTTTGAAATTGTTAATTTTCAACAAAACACCGAGTTTGTTCTTTTTTTTTATTAAAATAAATTTAGTATTTTTCGCAGTAAAATTGTCAAGTAAAGCGTTTAAAATTTGCTCGTATATAAGAAGTAAAGCATAACCTACTTCAAATCTAGTGCGATTGTATATCAAATTAAATTTAAAGCTCTTTAAATTATTTTTTATTGTAATCAGATAAGGAAAATCTCACACTTGTAGTCAAATGGAGTTAATAAACTTTAGTATAGTACCGTTGTTAATGGGTTTGTTGAATAATCTAGAGCATGAGCACGAAAACAGATTATCGTTTTTTTTTTTATTATTAGATTTGTGATTTGTTATATGCGTTGTATTTGTATTAGATTTGGTTTTATGACCGATTAGCAGTTTCAGGCTTTGAAGTTTTCGATCAATTCTATAAAAGCCATTACTGCGCCTAAATAAAGGTTAGTTAAAGAACTGTTAACTTTGCGAGCAGTTAATATTTACCATGAAAATCATATTAATCCTTTTGACTATCGTTGGTCTAGCGACAGCCACGGAAGTCGCTGAAACATTCGGTAAGCACGTATAACTCAGTTGATGTGTTAAAGATTAGTATCATGAGCATATTTATCTTAAAGCTCTAGGTATATTATAGTAGATCTAGTGCTCTTACAGAACTTTTTTGCGGAAAACATACCAAAGTTTTAATTTCAATTTTTACTTATCTTCAAATCGATTTTAATTCCAGCCGATCGTTCCCTGTCCAGCGTTGCTATCGATGTTATCGAGAATCTACGTGATGAGATGCCTTGCGGTTTCCCCGGACTCGGCATTCCCCCACTCACTCCGCTAAAGATCCCACACAAGGAAGTAAATATCGACACAGAGGCCTTGCAATTGCAGGGTTTTGTTGACAACTTCCGCTTGAACGGTCTGAACGATTTCGATATTGATGAGATGAAGATCAATGCGATTACTAGCAAAGTGAGCTTCCGTTTCATTTTCCGCAATGTGAACGTCGATACAGAATACGATTTGCGTTTGCTGTTGAAAAAAGCTGGCTTTACCATCAACATGGTCGGCAGTGGGCCAGCCAAGTTTGCTATTAAAAATATGGATGTCAAAGGTGTCCTTAAGTACTCATTGGGTCTTGTGAGCGGTAAATTGAAGTTGAAGACCTTGAGCATTCGCACACACATCGGCGAAGTAGAGTCCGATATTGAGGGTATCATGGGTGAAGGTGACATAAACGAGAAGATGAACGAAGTTTTGGCTGAAATCGTAGAGGTGGCTGTTAATGAGAATGAGGATAACATTGCCGCCACCATCGAAAAATTTGCTGTACCAAAGGTGAACAGTCTTTTGGGTGACATGTCTTTGGCTGACGTGATTGCTGCAGTGGGCGGTAACAACGAGGAAAAGGATAAGTGTATACCCCCTACTTATTGAATAATGTGAAGAATATATTTTTTGATTGAAATAAATTGTTTATTTTAATAAAAACTTTATTAATTACTGGGAAAATGGCTAAGAATTTTATGTGTGGTGACATCAGCGATGGATTGATGGGTTTTTGCTTTTCTTAATGACTTTTTGTAGTAAATCTTAAATATTTTAGGTAATGGTTGCTTAATATATTTTTATTGTTTGAGTTTACTGAATCAACTCTCACCTACTCAAAAGCAAAATTAATACTGTTCGAGCATACTGCAATGTTTACTGTTAGACCACTAACAATGAACTAATGTTAACTTAAAATCTTCCCCATAAGCACTCTCTAACTTTTTATCGGTTCAAAGGAGAAATCAATGAAGTTTTTTCACAAGCTAAATTTAAGCTTATGAAATATCTTACTCTATTGCGATAATCATATCAAAAATTATATAGTAAAAATTTTACTTTTTAGACAAAAACAAGCCCTCAAGTGAAATTAATGACAAAGGAGTTCCTTAAAAGCGAAAGCTTTTTGAGAGCTTTGGAGCTTTGTGCTGTTAATCTACATTTTTGATTATATTTCAAAGAGAATAAATACCTTTTTCGTGGCATTTAACAATATCCCTAATCCGCATGGCAATTGATTTCCTTATCAAGTCTTATCGTTAATTCGTAAGATTTTCACGTGATAATCCCCGTGCTTAGCGAATGTTCATCGGCCAGCAATCGATAACTTTATAGGGCGCACGAGTAATTTCAATTGTCTTAATGACTTTGTTTATTGTTGAACTTGCACCTACGGATCTTAACAACATTGAACCAACAATAACACAACTTCGTGCGATTTATCAGCTTAACGCTTTTGATAAACCGCTAAAAATATACCAAATCGTTTGAAAACAATATTTATTACAAAAAGAGTATAAAAATTGAAAAAAATGAGTTTTCCTTGGACTGAAACTGTGTAGCGTATAAAATCAAGTGGCGCACCTGCTAAGCCATTTAGTTTCCTTGCTGTATCCGAGGCAAACGCATAGCGACGAAGAGTTTTTCAAAATGAAGTTCATGTTGGTGTTATTGGCGCTTGTTGTAGTAGCGAATAGTTACGAGTTTCAGGAGCGTTTGAACGGTGAGTTTGCTTTCCAACAAACACAACGTTGGTAATCGGTTACCGAAACTTGAACTTGTTCGAGTAGGAAGTTTATGTGGGCACACGTTTTGTGAAAGTCGAAGGTGCTAAGCTTTTCGTGGTTTTTCTTACACACATAAATTGTAAATTGTTGTATAAATTGGATATGTAGTTATTATGATTTTCGAAACTAACTACATTTTTAACATTAATTTAAAATTAGGTGAGATTTCGGGTTTTCAAGAAAATGTTGTAGAGGAAATGTTTATTAATCAATATTAAAGTTGTTTCATGTCAAATACCAAATCCAGCTACGGAAATTCTTATAAGCGTAGAACCTTTAAAGATCAAATCAGAAACTCTTAAAATATTTTATGTTAAACTGTTTGATTAGAGATATATTTATAGTTAGTTAGATCAAGAACCAATTATAAAATTCTAAAAAGTTGTTTTAAAGGCATGTGCTTACTCGTATTAATCAATATAATGGTGTGGCACTCAAAGTGCATAGGAAGAGGGAGTATTCTTAGCAAGAAGTTAGAAAACTTTTAGTTTTTGGTTCTTTGTACAACGTTCTATATATCTGACACTAAAAAATAATTCAAGCAATTGGGTAGTAAGGCTCGCGTAACTCCAACGTTATAGTATTATGGGTTCAGCGATTCATTGCGAAGTTCGAGATAAGGCACATTCCTCAGTATTTATTTTTAAATATTAACGGTTGTGCAATAAATCACACTAGAGGCAGTATTACTTCAACATTTGTTTTAAAGATTACCGATTTAGTAGAATCAAATAAATGTAAAAATCTCTTTACTTTTCTTCAACAGGTTATGATCGCTCCATATCCAGCCAAATAAACGATTATATCGAGAACATCCGTACGCAAATGCCATGCGGTTTCCCGGCTCTCGGGGTGGGTCCATTGTCACCTGCACGTCTCTCACACCGCAATATTGCGCTCAACTCAACTGGTTTAGCGTTGACAGGCGAAATCGACGATTTCATACTTTATGGACTAGACGACTTTGATTTTACAGTAAAAGTTAATGTTCTGCTCAGCAGGGTCACTTTCAATTTCCACTGGCATAAAGTGCATTTCGTTACCAACTACAAAATGGATATGAACGCTGGCAATCGAATAAATGTGGGACGCAATGGTGGCGGTAAGTTTGCCATTGAGGATTTGAAAATTGTTGGCTTGGCCAGATACAACATCATCGGCAAGTTGCGCTTGAGAGAGTTCAAGATCAGCGCCACCATCGGCGATGTGAATTCGGCAATAGAAAATTTGTCCAAACTTAAAATTATTAACAAAAAATTGAACCAGATCATTGAGGAGTGGATTTTGTTGGCGGTGAATGAAAACACCAGTAAAATGGAGGAGATGGCGAATAACTTTGTGGTGCCATATGTTAATGGCATAATAGGAAATGCTACGTTGATGGAAATAATAGCGATTGTTGGTGGTGGTGGTGGAAATGGTGGCGGAAATGGTTCTGGCGGAGAATCAGAGGAATGTATACCACCAGTAGTTGTGATGACTGACGAAATTTAAAATTGCTTACGCCAAAGACATAGTTAAGTACAAATAGGAGGGGGCAAGTAGTAAAGCTAAAATTTTGTGAAAACCTCTCTGATGTTTTAAAACAAATAAATAAAAAAATAAAAATAAAATATTAGTAAAAAAAAAAAATATAATTTTAAATTATTATATTATAATTTTTTTATATTGAATGTATACACATATATTTGAAAATATTTTCCGAAATTTTGAATTTGATCCGTCAAAGAGTTTCGAAGATATCAGCTTTTTTGTGAGAATTTTTTAACGTAGTGTAATCGGCTCTCAAAATTCTAAACGAGTTTTTCTCGAAACGATGTTTTTAGAGTCAGTGAGTAAAATTTTTCGGAAACGGCTGAACCGACTGACTTTTCGGATTTGAAATAATTTTAAGCAGACACTTATTTTGGTGGTCCGCTTGGCTATCGGCTTCGGAATCAAGGGAATCCAAAATGTTTTTAAATGTATAACCGATTATTAAAGTATTTTAAACTTTGTAATTCACGAAATAATATGCACAACGAAATCAAAATGTAGTTATGCGGATAACTTACCGTGTGCAACAACCGTAATCCATACGTTCTTTGTACAAACTACCCAATCACAGGGTACACATCATGAATATTTATCTATTGTGAACTGGTTGATAACACGACTTGGCTAATACGTCAACCGCTCAATATTAAAAGTAAGAAATTTCTCCAGTTGTAGGGTGTGCAATAAGCGGGGAAATTAGAAGTAAAGGGAAATTCTTCACGCTTAAAACAGAGCACGTATACGTTCTCGGATCAAAAAACGAACTGATGTGTCAGGTAGACAGGTAGGACGACGGAGATAATAAAAATGATGAACGGTAAGCGGAATGTTATTTAATCAGGAACTAACGTAAAACGGCATAACTATTCCCACAAAAGCTTTCCAACCTCCGGAACTTATCAAAAGGAGTGTTTTTAACATATACTTGTACATATACATACGAGTATGTACATAACAAAATAATTTTGCGGCCATCATCTTTTACTTATTCGGCTATATACACACTCCCATATGTATAATAAAGTATTTCGTTTGCAGTGCAAGAGCCTTCTGCCAAATACTTGAACTATTTCGTTTTTCCTTTTTAACAGTTTGTCCACTTGCAAACGCACTTGACGTCTTTTTATTAGCTGAATAATCGCTGAAAGAATTGTAGTTTTCAAATGGTCAACCAACTTGCCGGGTTGTTGGGCAAGGAGATCAAATAAAATGAAGAAGAAAAAAACGAAGCTTGTATCATCCGGGTTTCTTAAAGAATTTCTATTCAATTGGTCAACTCTTCTTCGTCATAGTTTTTTGTAACTTCATTCTTAAAGTGCTCCAAATAAAAGATAAAAAGTTTGCATAAAATGAAGGAAACGAAAGCGACGGCAAAGACAGACGGATGTTTCCAGACATTTTGTGGGGTACTTGAGCTTTTGTGTGAAGTGCGTTCAGGTGTGAAATATTTCAGGGAAATTCATCTTTAATGGCAACGAAATGGTTTTGATTATTTTAAGACTATCAAAATAGAATCTGTAGTTATTGATTGTAAAAAATATAATTAAGAGTGATTTGATTAATTGTTTACAAAGAGTTTTCGGAAACCTGTTTTTTTGAGTGAATATTATCCTCAAGTCATAATTTAAATGTTAAATGGCAGTTAGCCAAATTTCGCCCGAGGACAACAAAGAGGGCGAAATAAATGAAATTTGTTCAAAGAGTGTGGGTTGACGAATAGACCCCTGATAAAATGCTTGCTAATAAAAGGTGAAACTTTATTTGAACGGGAAAGTGATGCATATGAGTAAGCCGAAACCGGAGCACACACAATCAGAGATTTATATTCATGTAAATCTTTTCTGCATACTTTCATGGAAAGTTCAAGGCATTTACATGTGATTAGACTAAATATGGGAAGTGAAAAAAGGCGCATGCAAAATGCCGGTGTTTACAAAAGAATATTTTTGGTTGGGTGAAATATTTTAATACACGAAATGCTGTACATCAGACGGCGGTGCAAACAGAGAGTGCATTTAGAAGAGAACTAAAATTGTAACGAGTTTGAAAGCTGAGGTAATTATGGCGAACTTTTTACAAGAGAGTGATGAGATATGTGGAGATGAAAATCAAGCAGTTTTCGCTGACAATTTCGTAGCTTATAGAAATCTTGAGATACTGTTTAAAAATAAGCCGCACAGGATTATTGACAAAAATATTTTTTTCTTACAGGATTTCGGAAATTTTGGCTCTCTGTCGACCGTGTTAGAAAATTCAAAAACCACACCATATTTCAGCAAATAGAATGTGTAGAGGAAAGTCTTTGGACAAAAGCAAGTTAAGTGCGAGAAGAATACAAGAATTGCAACGAAAACAAAATCAAAACGAGCTCAAGTGTCGCCGTATATTTTATTAGCTGCAACTGAAGTGACAATAGTCTCAACTAGTCTCTGGTTGTAGTGGGATGCCGTTACTCTCGAACAGTTGCTTTCATTCCTGGCAGCACAGACAAATAGTTAGAGTCGCCGAAGACAACGACATCCGGCGCGAGGCTGCCAGTAGATGGCAGCATGCCACTAACACCTAAGACGCCGCCAAACCGACACGCCGAATCGCTCTTGGCTAATATATGTACGTATATAGTATAGCTTATGCGTCGCCAAATTCAAGGAAATGAAATGAATATTTATTTGCAGTTGAACTTTGGCTGCGACTGAACGAGTAAAGAATAAAGAAAAATAATAAAAACGATTTACATAGAATGTTAGTATTCCGCTTTTTTTTCGAGTTTGTGACGCGTCACTAAATTGAAATTTATTGCCATACGCATTAAGGCTCTGTTGTCGGCAGGCTTGTTTGTCTTTGGCAGCTTTTGGTAGAAAAAATAGTTTCGAAAAATATGTCATTATTATATACAAAATATTAGATTCAATTAAAGACAAGAAAAAGTTTAGTAAAATTTAAAAATATATAATTAAATTGAAAATTTGCGGAAAATAATTTCCAAAAAACTTCAAACTTAAAAACTTTACTTATTCTGCTTAAAATATTTTAACGAATCTGAATTCAAGAAATATTATGCACTTTATATAAATAGTATACTGCTTCTTGCATGAATAACGGTTATTTCCAGTTTTTATCAAAATCTTCCACAGTGCGAATGCTCACAAAAATCAATTTCCCCATACTCTCTTCTCTCGCTCACGCTTTAATCACTACTTGCTGTCTGCATAAATAGCACGCCTACACGAAATTTCACTTTCTTTTTCATTTGTCACGAACACAAAGGCCAACAGACGGCAGTTACCCTCTACGAGGCAGGTGAAAAAATTCTTGCTCCCACTTCTCCTTCGCCTTGGTGGAAAGTGAATTTCTGTCTCTAACACGCTTCTCACTTGCCACACTAGTTTTCGAACATCCGAAAGTGCATGCCGATTTATTAAAACCACGTTCTGCGCCATCGGCGGCAAGGTGAGTGCCAGTGTTGCATGTTGTTGTAGCAGAAAATTTGGCAGTCAAGGGTAGTGCATAATACTTAGTGACAATAACTTATGATCCAATAAAACTGTCTAGCTTCTCGTTTTCTTCGCTTTTCACACTTTTTACTCACACAGAGTTTTTTCTTTGTCAACTGACTGCATTGAATTGCCGGAAGCCATTCAAATTGAAATATTAATCTCTCAAAGCTTGCAAATGGTTAAGGAGGTTTTAATAGCGGTGGTAAAGTTCATCAGCTCTTATGTGGTGGTATTGCAATATTATTCGAAAATATTCGGAAATAACTAAGAGCGGGTGCGTCAGATCACTTTAGCTCCAAATATTTTACATTTTTTACAGTTCTAGGGCTAGATAGATTTGAGTGACAAATTATTAAATTTGTGTACTTACTTTAGGTTTGAAGAAACTTAAATTATTATTCTTTTTTTTTAATTTTGGTTTACAACTTTTGAAGAGCTGAGTACACCCTATCGTTTTTATTAATATTTTTGAATTTAAATTGATTTAGCTCGAAACCGGTACTTTTTGAAACAAAGAAAATCAAATTATAAAAAATGAATAATAAAATTAAATATTATAAATTAAATATTGATTTCTTAAATTATATTTTCATTCAGAAAAGGGCATTCGTATATGTATGTATATAATTTTATTGATTATCAGAAAATATATCATTTATCATGAATAAATTCCATTTATTTTCGATATATTCAAGTGAAATATATGTATATATATTGAAACAAAACAACAACAATAATGAGGAGGACACTGTGGTCACAAACATAAGTGTGCGCTTAGTATCCAAGACCACACACTTGTGAGCAACGCTGAGCGACAAAGTCAGTATAAGTGAGGCTGGTTGTTTTTCTCAGAACGCTTGAAGTTGACTTAAGAAAAGTTGAAAATGCTTGGAAAGTAGCAAAAAGTCAGATGAAGGCAGCAGACGGCAACAGTTGCATTCTGATTTATGCTTCAACCAGCACAAAACTATTGAACTAAGTATACGCCAGAGGAATAAAAATGAAAAAAGGATGAGAAATATGTTGGAGAAATTGATGGAAAACGGCAAAACTGAATGCATTCACCAACTCAATAGTGATTTCATGAGCTTTCGATTGCTCGACCGTTATCCGAGTTCGACAAATATTTCAATATATAAACAGCGTAGATGACAAGTCACAACAGCAGCATTTATATACAATATTATATAGTTTATCCCCCAGAAATGTTTTAGTTTGCTTCGTCTCCCTTGCAAAATTGTACACTCCAACGCAACTTTCTCACACCGCTAACTGTAAAGCATAGTTTGAAAATTTATGAGAATTTGTTTGGTAAACTTGAAACTTTGACCCTCGAAAAGGCAACATTTTTGTGCGTCGGCCAAGTCATGCAAGTGTGTATGTGTTCGCAATACAATTGAATGTGTTAGTGTTGTTGTTGTATATGTGCATGATAAGTGCACATGATTTGTTATTCTACGGAACTTTTTTCGCTGACAGCACAACTACCAAAAATGTAGCGAAAAAGGTATCGAAAAGCGAAGTAATAGGGATTTTGTAATCTGTACAGGGATTGTATGTACATCACTTACCCACGCCCACAGCTTTAGTGCGCAGAAG